ATATATATATATATATATATATAAGAATCATATTTTATTTTTTTTTAATTTGAAAATAAACTATATTATTTAGAAAAAGTTTTAGTCTTTTAGCATATAATTTTCCTAATCATTTGATTGGACAATTCATGATGACCCCTCTTAATTACTTGATTTTTTTAAGAATTTAGATGTCTTAACGACTCTGAAATTAAACTATCTTATGTTCGTTGAATTTCTCTCGTCGAAATGCCGATTCAACTATAAATATGTAAAATTCGGAGTTCATTTGACAATTCAAATGTCGATCGAAAGCATCTAATTAGGGTGCTTCAAAGAATTTATCTGAGCTTGATTGAACCTGTATTGAACCAATTTTAGAGCATTTTTATTCATCTTGCGATGACACTCAATCTGATTACAAATTTGATAAACTTGGAGCTTGGATAATCATGAATTTATATTCGGAAATTTTCTTACTTAAAATGCCTTAATATTTGTGGCAGATGGATGAGGTTAACATACGAGTACGACGTCCCATCATAAGAGTTAATGCTTGAAAGGAGCACGGCGTTCAAGGACGATCTTAGTCAGAGTAGAACTCTTGAGAACTACTCCACGCAGAGAAAAGTCTTCTATTTTTTAGAGAGAGCTCTTCTTGTATTAGACATTGTAACTCATGAAAGATTACATTAGATCGAAATAAGTTCTCCACACAACACGTGTTCGAGATTTGCTACTAGGCTTTGCTGCACTGAATGTATTTGTTGAGTTAGCAACATGAAGAAGATCAACTTCTTGTGGAGAACTCCAATGTATGGAGGGGATGCACGGTCCGACTAAATCACACAAGGGCAACTTCATCGAACGATCAAGACTGAACCACGTCATCAAAATCAAGGCGCCGCTTAATCGCCGAGGGAGTGCGGAGTCGCCAACGGGAAATCGGGGGAATGGCAACTGGAGCAGAACTCTCAACAAGACTGGTTGCAGTGGCTTCCTCTATAAGCCTCTTGGCTTCAAGTTCGAACTGCCTTCCTCTCTTCTTTACCATTCCTCGATCTGAATCTGGACTTCTCCGCTGTCGCTTCTCCTTTCGCTCTCTCCTCTTCTACCGGCGTCCGCTGCTTCGTTTCGTAGATACGTCTTACGGCGATCGGGGAAGATTTTACTTTTCAGCCATGTCGTCGTCGTTTTCTTCTCTCTCCGCTTATGAAGAAGAGCTTGCCGCCGCTAAGAAAGCGGCGTCTCTCGCTTCTCACCTCTGTCAGGTGCTCAGCCTTATCATTCCTCTCCCAATTTGGACTGTTGTTTCGGATTTCCGGTTGATCTTACTATCCGCTGTCGTTGAAAGTACGTTCCTCGATTTGTGATTTTGGGTTTGGTTTGAATTGTGCGCTTCTTTGGATTCATAGGTTACGAGTGAAATTGTTTGAGGAGATTGCTATCATTGATCAATTTTTTTTCACAGCAATTTTGGGTCCAAAATCAGTTGAGATAAACACACGGAATCAAAGGCGCACATGATATGAAATCCACCCGTTCCTGTTGATTGTCATTCTTTAGCTTGAAATTTTATGAATGTGGGAGGTGAATAAACTATGTAATCTTTGCTTGTTTAGATCATTAGACTGATTTTGTAAGAGAATATGTTTAGATAATTATTGCAGAACCTGCTAGAGTAAGCTCATGACAATTATATTGAGCAATTAGTTAAATGGATAATTCAAGAGTGTTGATTTACATACAGTTAGTTTTACCAATCACTATTTATTTGATTTAAAGGATCATTTAATTTGAAATACAGTTAGTGAACTAAAATAAAGTTTGTTTATTGTATGGCTCATTTTTCTCACATATCTTAATTAAAATAAATGCCAACAAACTATTGCATTTACTTTATATACATTTGCTGTATATTGCATTTTAAAAATGCACCAAACAAATTACCCCCGTGATGCAGCACATCTCAGGGTCTCAGGTTTCTAAAGCAACTTGATTATATAACATTCTTGTGTTAACTTACATATACACCAATATGTTTTAGGCCATGACCTCAAGATTTTATGGTTCGAAACAAAACAAAGCACCCAACCACTGTGCTTAATAGATTGCACTATTAGGTGATATAATGTATGAAAACAATTAGGATTGAAAATTCTCATTTTAAGAGACCAATAATTAAGTATATAACTTTCAATTACTTTTTTTTTTGCTGTAAACTTAAAATTATGAGATGTCCGAAATAAATGATCATTTAAAATCGATTAAATAGTGTTTAAATGAAACTATAAAATTACAACTTGAATGAGATTCACACTGTAGTCGGAAAACCCATTTGATGTCATATTTTATTAAAATAAAGAACGTTGACAACATCAATAGCAAATTATTTTGAAGAAACAAGAAAAGGAAAAAAGTCACCAAGTAGAGAAATCTATACCTCAAACTGGTACAAGAAGATGACCTTCATCGAAATTCAATTATCGTACTTGCACCGTGTTGGATCTTTTTAGGATGTAAGGTCTTGTATTATTCATAGGCTCTTATTAACTGGGGGAGATTTGAGAGAAAAACGGATGGAGATGATATGGATGAAGCCCCAGATAATGAACCCGATCCTACGGATGAGCAAGGGTTCCACTTGAGGAATTGAAACCCCTTTTTTTCTATATTTTTCTTCTTCCTTTCCCCCTTTCTAGCTACATGGAGAGTGAAAAGAATAAAAAAAAAAAATCATAGCTCATACTGCATGTAGTTTGTCCAAGACGTGCCGAGGAGAGGTTGGTGGCGTGGATGTCACCTTGAGTGAAGATTGCTGTGAGGTCGTGATGTCACCTTGACAAATCAAATTGGCAAGTTACTTTGGCAGGTCAGTTCAACATATAGTTGTAGTGGGTATGTTGGATAGGAAAAAATGCATGGGCAGTGCCTAATGATGAGGAGTGGAACCCTGTAGTCCTCCAAATAGGTCCATCAACTGTGGTGTGAGCTAGAAAGGCTCATTAATTATGTTTTCGGCCCGTTAAGGCTAATTATTTGTATACAAACTGCATAAGAAAGAATCCAACATCCAACAAGCACATACAAGATTGAAAGTAAACTGCATTTTTATTAAGCCAAAAGTTTCACTCATACAAAATTTAAGACTGTGTTGCTAAAAATTAATCCATTAGTTCATGTCAATTAGTGACCATAACAAAATGCGCTAGTTTTGGTCTTCAATACATTAAGATAAATGTGTGATGCTAAAAGTGTCAAAATGACAATGGGTAAGCACATGATGGAACTAGAGCTGAACCCATATTATACGACGTGCTACAAGAATCACAAAATCTACAGAACCTTACACACAACACCACCAATGCAATAGGATAGAACCAACATACACGCTACAAGAGCTAAATGGCTATAGGAGCCGCACAGGAGTACAGGTACCATACTCAAACAACTTGAAAACTGAGGACTCCAAATGTGCCAATTAATTCCTCAAATAGCTTCAAAGTAGAAAACTCCACATTCACCAATTAATCCAACACTTTCTAAAACTCCACTTTCACCAATTAACCCAACAACACTTCCTATAAGAATGGTCTTAAACTCGCAAATTTTGCTCAGATGGTCATCTATTAGTTCTAGGTTTTTAACGACTGTAAAGTACAAATCTCCATCAAATTTTTTAAATGGATTTAAGGAGGGTGCCTTCACAAGAACGAAATTAAAGAGCACTAATTGGGAGTTGACTTGGGATATATCTGTGGTTATTACAACCTCTCATGCTTGCAAAATTTATTTAGTTTGCTGGAGGAAAACATCAAATATTGTTTTAACTGTTTGTTTTTTGGGACGCTTGCATACGCAGCACACAATTTTTATGTATTTACATATCTCACACGTGAATGTACATATCTACACACAACACTCAAAGCTTTAATATCACATAAAAAATAGCACTATTATCACTTTTTAAAAGTTAAATACACATTTTCATTCATGGGTTTAAAACATCAAAATGTTATGTATGTTAATATGAAAGTTTAGATGCCAGATATGTAAATACATAAGAATTGTGTGCTAGACATAAATTTCCTTTGTTTTTTATGGTACAGAGAAAGGCACCTTCATGACAGATATCATGACTGAAAAAAGCTTCATGGAAGATATATTCTTCAGTTTCTTTCATCTATGTGCTGTCACATTTGTTTTTTCCAATGCATCACCTGTGAGGGTCACATATCAAAGATTAATATATATCCCCATTTTTCAGAAAGTGCAGAAATCCATTATGCATTCAGATGTCCAATCCAAAGCAGATAAAAGTCCTGTCACAGTAGCTGACTATGGTATGCTGCCAAAATCTTTTCATTTGAATTGCTAAGTTTTCTGCGTATTCCTTCATCTCCTATATTGTGTTCATGTCATGAGAAATAAGAAATCCCAAGAAGCATAGAGGTTCTGGACGAAAAGAAAGTTAGTTTTGTAAATATAAGATGTTAATCCAAAGGGTAGCGAGGTTGTAGCAATTTATCAAAGGGAAATTTACATATAAACCACAAAATTTTGATGTATTTACAAATATAACACTTAAATTTGATATTTACACTTATAACACTTTTGTGTCATAAACATATGTATGAAAATGTGTATCTCACATTTAAAAAGTTAATAATTGTGGTATTTGTTTTGTGATGCTAAAGTTTTGAATATTGTAAATGTAAATATTAAAGTTTAGTTGTTAGATATGTAAATACAACAGAATTGTGCGTTATGTATGTAAATTCACCTTTATTAAGTGTAGAGTTTCTTGAAAGTGCAGCTATACTTTTTTCTCAGTTTTGCTCATTCTTTCATGCTATGTAAAACACTTTATATATATAGTGAAATTAGACTGGTTGATTATTGGTTAAATTTCTATTCACTCTCTTATTTTTAAAATTTTCAAGGCTATCATATTTGTCTTTCATCCTTTTGTATTGCACACTGCATTTACTAGCCTTTTATCTTATATTATTCTTCCTCCCCCATTATGATCCATGGGCCAATATGAGGTTGAGGACCCAAAGGGGTAATGGTCCACATTCTCACTCATATACCTGAAGCGGGAATATAATAAAGCATGAATTGTGTAATACTGCTTTTGTATGTGAAAAGAGATTATTTGACACAGTTTTTTTTCCTACGAACATAAAACATTCTAGGCGCTTACATTTTTTAGACTATAACATAGGATTTGTTGTTAATTATGTAGTAAGGTGATTGTAAGATTGATTAACAATAGTAATAGGTTCACCAGTGTAACATGATAGATTTTTTCTTTAAGTATATGTGGAATTGAGGAGGAATTTTCTTAGAGGGAAAAACTCTTTACTTTTCCATTCATCTAATACGAGTAAATAACAAGTATATATATATAGTTGGAGGGAAATTCACATCACCGTGACAAGAAGGAAAGAAATAAAATGCAACAATGGCTAATTAAGGGAGAATAATTTCTCCCCCTAAAATGTAGCAGCTGACTCACAGTTTTCTAAACTGTGAGTGGGCTCATGCCGTCCACAGATGTATACATATCAACAGTAAACGTCTTACTACTTTGTTTTGCAGGTTCGCAAGCATTGGTCAGCCTTGTACTGAAGATGGAGCTCCCATCCAGGTCATTTTCATTGATGGCTGAAGAGGTGCTTGCACTTTGTCTCGAATTTATACATTTCAGACTCATTTCTGATATTGAACTCAAAGCTGTAAGCAGATATCTTATATTACTTTGCTATAGGATTCAGGAGATCTTCGTAAAGATGGCGCCCAGGTGACTTTGAAACGTATTACAGAGCTTGTAAATGAAACTCTCACTGCTGATGGTACATATAATCTTTCCCTTTCTGAGGAGGATGTGCTTGATGCCATTGATAGTGGCAAATCTGAAGGAGGTCCATATGGTCGGCATTGGGTTTTGGATCCAATAGATGGCACTAAAGGGTAATCATAATTATTTTTCAACTGAAATATTTACTATGATCTGTTTCTTAAGAGTACCCATGTTTAATTTGCTCTTGAGATAATGAAAATATTCTCAAATTAGTTGGTTATCTATAGATTATATATTTCTTTATCTATGTAGGTCCATATTTTAAGAAATTGCTCATTTTTTGTCAGTACGTATTTGTTAATCATGTGATTTTGGTTATGTAGTTAGATAATACTCTTTTCTATTCAAGCACATCAATTTTTTTTTTCCTTCATACTTTCTAAACATAAACTATTTCACTTTCCTAGACTGGTTTTAATTTAATGTGTTTTTACTTTGGGTGTGTAATTATGCTGCATATGCACAAGATTATGTGTAGTTTGGAACTTAATATTCTTTATTTGTTCAAGCATATTTTTTGAATGTGAAACACACTTCTCAAGCCATTTAAAGGGGATAGGAATAGTGCTCAATTTAAACTTCAAAGAGATGAGGGGTTTTAATCTATAAAAAGTGTATGGCCACTGACAATGCCGCCAATACTTTAAGTGGGAGAGGTTAATTAAGTATTACTAAAATAAACTTTTAAACACCGAGGTGTCTTTTAATGTAATGGTTAGGGTTTCAGTAGAAACTCTAAAATTAGAGTGTTCATGTTAGAGCGCACTTAGGATTTGCAACTATCCTAAGATAATATATCAAGAAAACGGTCAAGTGAGTCCTATGAGGGAAAATAATATAATATCTTGACGATTCAGAGTTCATGATGCATTGATGTGACATGAATTTTCATTAACTTTCCAAAATCTTAATAGTCCAATGAGGGAAAATAATACAGTATCTTGACGATTCAGAGTTCACGATGTGACATGTATTATCAATAACTTTCCAAAATATTAATAGATAATATTTTTAGGATCTAAAGCCTCACATTTATGTGTAACTTCTTTTTTTATTGATCTAATATATATCTCTTTATTTTATTTATTATACTTCAAAGTATTTATTCTCTAATTTCATTTGATACTTTATTTATTTTTTATTTTTTTATTTAAGATGTTATTATCTATGCTTCTAATGCATCCGACGAAGTCTCTAGTTTTCTATCTCCTTTCCTTAAAATTTATTTATAACATCTTTCTCTCTTAACAATATATAAATTAAAGAAAGCTATAACTTTTGCTTAGCTTTTACTTTTCTTATAATTGTTATGACCCTTAGTATTATTTATCACTTATTATTCTTTAATAGCGCATTACATTCTCTCATTAATTTTTATTCTTGTTCACTCCGTTGCCAAATGCCTTTTTTATCTAATGATCTATTTCTAGGTTCGTTTAAGACATCTATTTCAATCTAATTGAAAGCTAGCCATCTTATCTCTTATTAGGATTGACTTAACTGAAAAAAATCAACTTGCTTCTCGTAGTAACATATCCTAAAAGGTTAACAATTTTATATTTTTTAAAATTTCACAATTTTTTTTTTGGGAAATTATTTCATTCCGTCATTTCCTTATACTCTTATAATTTAAGTCCATAACCACTATCCTATGTTGTATGGTCAAACATTTTATTGAAAGTTTTTTTATAATCTTTGTAACATAATTGAGAGAATTTCAAACATGCCATCAAATTTAGTTGTATTTACAGTATTTTTATCTTAAATTTTCAATAATATGTCCAGTTAAGTCTAGTAAATATATTTTCTTCCTTTGGTACAATTCATTAATATATTTCAATAGTTGATCTTCAAACCATCTTCTCATCGAGCTTGAGGAAAATAAGAAGAAAGTACTTTTTTGTACCCTCACTGATAATTAATGAATTAGTAATCATCCTATCACTAACTCTGTTCACCTCAACAGTGTTAGCTATCAACACTCTATTCACTTATTCCACTACTATTTTAAATCCATTTGTTATTAATCTTTCAAACACAGAATAATGTATAATTTTTATCTATCGATACATATGTATATGTATACGTATCTGTATACATGTATATGTATGTCATATATGCGTGTGTGTGTGCACTCGCCCGCCGAGCACATGAAAATTACTGTAAAAAAGGTTGTGATGATAATAACGATGATATTCAAGTATGTCTTTATAAATTCATCTATGGCTATCTATCTATATATCTATTTAAATAATATTACTGAATAATGTGGCATTGTTATATATATATATATTATAAAAGAATGGCTAGAGGCTATTATACGAGCCTCCAGCCAACCCTAACATGCCTAATAATTCGAGTACCACCTCCTTAAAGTCAATTGTGCTAGAGGAGATTCGAACTTCCGACCGGAGGGGTCTTATACTGTGGATGTCAACCAACAGGCCAAGGCAAACACAACGCATATATATATATATATATATATATATATATATATGGATGGTACTCGAATTATTAGTAACATTAGGGGTGGCTGGAGGCTTGCATAATAGCCTCTAGCCATTCCTTCATTTTAATATATATATATAGATCGCAATGCCACCTTAGTTATTAATATTTATATATTTTATTATTGTATATTATAATGTAATTATAAATTATATCTTTTGTATGTATGTGTCAGTTTGCGGGTTTATACATGTGTGAGTGGCATTATAATTATGCGAAGAGGAGTGTTGCATTTAATTACTTTCAAAATAACTTAGGATCATAAGTCATCAAAGTCCAATGGCTGTAAATTCTACACTTTATCACTTGTCGGGGAACACGTCACTTTTCATTTCCACCATTGCCTGAATAATCAAAATGATTCGCTTCACTTCTTACTCCCCACTTCATATTTCTTGTGTCCAAACAAGCCCTTAATGTTCTGCTTTAACAGTATATAATCTTTCTAAGCTTGAAAATATTCTAAAGAAACAGTGAAAGGCTGATGCTTCTCCTTATGGAAAAGAAATCCAACATCCAGGGATTCCTAAATTACTATGTATTTTTCTGGCTCTTAGAATATAGGAAGATTTACATACATAACACTTAATTCCTATGTATTTACATATCTAACACCTGAACTTCAATTTTTACAGACAGACAACCTTATCATTGTATGAAAAGGTGTATTTTTTTATGTGATATGAAGGATTTGGGTGGCATAAATGTAAAAAAGCCAAGTTTAGGTGTTAGATATGTAAATACATAAGAATTGGGTCAGATGTATGTAAATGCCCCTAGAATATATTGTGATTTGCTTTCCAGCTTGTACCAATCTGCCAAGCTTTTTCTGGCAGGTTCTTGAGAGGGGATCAATACGCAATTGCACTGGCAATGCTTGATGAAGGAAACGTGGTGTTGGGCATCTTGGCATGTCCAAATCTCCCCTTAACTCCAATAAGAAGCACTTCTAAAAACTCTTCAGAAAGTAAAGTTGGTTGCCTTTTTTCTGCCACTATTGGTTCTGGAACAATAATGGAGTCATTGGATGGCTCCACAAGTACTAAGGTAGTGCCGAGCATTTGTAGAAGGGCATTTGCATACATAGCACACAATTCTTATGTATTTACACATCTCACACCTAAACTTTCATATTTACATACATAGCACTTTGGTGCTTTAAAAGTATACATGAAAAGGAGTATTTCAGTTTTAAGAAGTGTTAATAGTGTTATTCTCGATGTGATATTAAAGATTTGAGTTCTGTGCAAGAGTAATTAAGAAAGTTTAGTTATGAGATATGTAAATTCATAAGAATTGTGTGCTATGTATATAAATTTCCCTTTGTAGAATTTACCGCATTCTTACATTCATGATTTGTTTTCCCACAACTGAACTTCAGGTCCATATCAGCACGGTTGAGGAACCAGCTGATGCATCTTTCTTTGAATCATTTGAAGCAGCCCACTCCATGCATGATTTATCTAGCAGCATAGCACAGGTAATAAAGGTTAATATTTCATTTTTGTGACATTTTTATGGTTCATTAGGTAGTTATTCCACTTGTTTATTCCTTTTTAGAAACTGGGTGTTCAAGCTCCACCTGTGAGAATTGATAGCCAGGCGAAGTATGGTGCTCTGGCGCGAGGGGATGGCGCTATTTATTTGCGCTTTCCTCATAAGGGATATCGTGAAAAAATTTGGGACCATGCTGCCGGTTTCATTGTAGTTTCGGGTATGAATATATAAAATACTTGATTGTTATATTTTCTTTTACTCAGCATTTATGTGAGTTAGGATTAAGATTATCTATAGACGGAAGCTCAGTAGTGTTTGGTGATGAGTAATTTGTCCAAATCTTGGTTGGTTTGTAGAAGCTGGTGGTGTAGTGAGTGATGCTTCGGGGAATGCTCTGGATTTTTCAAAGGGGCGATATCTTGATGTTGATAGTGGCATCGTTTGCACCAACAAGAAGCTGATGCCGTTGCTATTGAGTGCAGTGCAGGAGTCTCTTAAAGAACAATCTTCGTTTTTGTAGGAGAAACCTTTTCAATCCAACTGGTATTTTGCATTTCATGTTAGTTCATAGTTTGAACAAGGCTGATTGGTTTGTACCACTTTCCATCATGCGACGTTTGGAGATTCTCTTTTGGGTTGAAAATGACATTTATATCTTATAGCTCTGTAGGAGCTGTTTATTTCATGCATTAATATGCATGTATTTTAAATGTATGGCACAATAAATGTCATATTTATTCATAATATTTGGTTTGATTTTTATTTATTTTTTTGTATTTAAAGTTTAGAGACTTGACATTAAGCCTGATGACGGCCAAGATTTAACCTTTTAACTGAGGTTGAACTGAACAACATAATAAATATTAAAATGATTTTATTATGATTCAATCAATGTAATAATGTTATAATGATGTTCAATTAATGTAATGATGTTTCACTCTCTGAATATCTCTAAGGCTCTGTTTGGGGTGGCTATGCATGTAAAGGTGCCTTATAATAAAATGATTATGGATATAATGATATTTCTAATTAAAATTGACACATGATACAATAGATTATTCTTGAACCTCTATGTTCATTGCCGTTGTATAAAAGGAATGATCTGATATAATTTAATGAAATTGTTTCATAGTTAAAACAAATATCATTTGTACTAAGTAATTTGCTTATTATATTGTATTAAGCACAAGACGCAAGTCTAGAATCAATTGACGGCTACAATGATTTTTTTATGATATATAATTTGCTTCGTGATTACTTTAGTTTTTAATTAACTTTTTTGAGCATTTATGTTGTATAAAAATTTATAAAAACTTTGATTGTGAGCATATGTATGTGGTATCTCATATAAAAATTTTAAAAAGAGATTTTTAAAGTTATAAAAATTGGTTGAATCAACATTATCATTAAATTAAAATTAATATTTTTTTTCTCTAATTCAAGGAGCTCATTTGACTTGGATTAAACACTATCTATAATTAATTATTTTTAAAGTTAAAACACTACCTACTCTGGTTATTGCTATTTAAATATTAAAAAAATTGATTTAATAAAAAATATGAAATGAAAATGTGCATCTTCATAACTTGATGATCATGGCCAAACATTTGTATATGAGAATACTAATGAATAATTGTTAAATTTAGGAGTCTGTTTGAGGGAGAAAATTTTCAATACAAAGTTCGGACGCAGCTCTGTATGTGGACTCCACTAATATGTCGTCGCATGTGCTACATTGCGGATGTTATTGGAGGGTTATTGAAGTGAAGCCGCGAAAGTTATTGCGAGGGTTATTGAAGTGAAACCGCGAAAGTTATTGGGGGGTTATTGCAAGGGTTATTGGAGTGGTACCGCAAAAGTTGGAGGGTTATTGGGGGTTTATTGAGGGGTTATTGCTACTTTATTAGAGTTAACCCTCCAATAACCCTCCCAATAACATCCACGGTTCCACTCCAATAACATCTACGATTCCACTCCAATAACCTTCGCAGTTCCACTTTAATATTTTTTAGGTGGACCCGATGTAGTACATATGACAGCATATTACTAGAATCTGCACGCAGAACTGCATCCGAACTCTGTATGTAAAATTTTCTCGTGTGACCTTTTTAAACATACATGAGTTGTACCAAAAGAAGACTTCTTTCAAAGCTGTTGTGGGTATTATAATTTTTTTCTTTTAAAAAAGATAAAATACAGCTTTCTTACAATCACCATACTAACAGATTTGGTCAACAAGAATGAAGCCAAAGCAAATGTGATCTCACTTGAATAAACACTAGGTAGTAATTAATCCCAATGAGTAAAAGGGGTAGGTCCACTTTTAAGTGGAGTAGGCACAAAAAAATAAAACTTCTGGAAAGGAAACTTTGATTGCTTAATTATTTTCTTTCTGATGACATGAATATAATGCAACTCGCACCTTTTGTTTCCCATATATTGTAGGTTTGGAAGAATCCCTGATGGAATATTAGCAAATATGTGATATACAAGCACTGTTATTGGTGGTTTTCAAGCAGGGGATGCGAAAGATGATGGTGGCAACAGCCATTTTCTTATTTGGGGGATAAAAGAGGATTGCAAGTGCTGAAAAGTGGAGAAAAAATGGTTTAGCAAGTGTTTCTGTCATGTTTCTAGACAAGAACCGACTTTGTCAGCATGTTTTCGTAATGGAACAACTAGCTTTAGTGAAGTATTAAGGAATGTCAAAGGGGAGGCTAGCCATAAGTTTAATTTCACTGATGACTGCTACTCTTCCCAAAGATAGTCCAAGACTATACTAGAGTGTCAGTAACAATTACTAGTGTGATTTACAAGGACAAGTAGTGTTTGAGGAGAACTTGGGCCTTAACTAGCATATCATTCCTTACGTGAAAAGCAAAATACTTTTTACATACTTCTAAGCGCCGTGTACTTAGATCAGTTGGTCGGGCGTCTGCTTGTCAGTTGTAAGTTCCCACTGGTTTGGGGTGGGTTCAATTCCCCCCGAGTGTAGGGTGTGGGGTACTTGAATTATAGGCGCATGAGGGATGGTCGGGGCTCATATCATAGCCTCCGGTCATTCATTTATATATATATATGTGTGTGTGTGTGTGTGTGTGTGTGTGTGTTGTGGCCTGTTGGTTGGTGGGGTTCACTGTAAGTCCCCTCAGGTCACGGGTTCGATCCCCAGTGGCGCTGGGTTCTCGAATATTTAGGCACATGACGTAAACTCTCATCATGGGGCCTAGCGCATGGAAAATATCTCACACCTAAAGTGAAATACAACTTTTCATGCATAAGTTTAAGGCACCAAAGTGCTATTTATGTAAATATGAAAGTTTAGGTGTGAGATATATAAATGCATAAGAATTGTGTGCTAGTATGTAAATTTGCCGAAAAAAACAAAAGAGGCTAAACCCTTGGGAACAAAAAGTTCAAAAATTTTTATTGGGTAACTTAACATGACAAACCAAGGAGTCATCGATATGTACAGAATATAGACAGAAACAAATAAAGAAAAGATACTGCAACGACTAAAGAGAGACTAAACTCACGGTTACAGAGTTCGTCTTTCACTTATCTTGATTCTACAAGGAGTGCAGATGCTTGATTTTTTGAATGGCTTGTTTAGCCTTGGATAATGGTTCTTCATACAAAATGGCAGGATCATCAAACTGTGGAGCCAGGCTTGGCTGTTCAAGAAAGGCACGAAACGTGTCTACAACAGAGTGGGAGAGAGATTGCAGATTATATCCACCCTCCAAGAAAAACACACATCGTCCTTTGCATAGCTCCTTTGCCAATTGCTTGATGCTTGATGCAAGCATGTAGTAAGTACCAGCAGTAAATTGTAGGCCTGCTAGCGGGTCAAGCACATGAGCATCATAGCTGCAAAGAAAATATGAATCATAGTGCGCCATTAGCAGAATGGTAGGAGCTTCATAACAATGCATTAACATTTATATTTGAGGATATAAATCATTCTCGTTAGATAATTTAAAATTTTTTTAGGATTATGGAGCAATAGAAATTTAATATGTTTCAATGTCAATGATGAAAAATAAGTAACTCACCCGGCTGAGACAAGAATAATATCTGGTTTAAATCTTTGAGCACAAGGTGCAATGACTTCGTTAAACGCACTTCTCATAACATAATCACCAGATCCTCCAGGTAGAGGCAAGTTCAATGTGGTCCCTTCACCACTTCCTTGGCCAACTTGCTCAATCTTCCCGGTACCGGGATAGCTTCCAACCTAAATTAACAAATTAAAAATAAGTTCGGGAAAAAAATTGTATGCATAGAAGAATAAGGGAAAAAAATGAGCAAGTTATCCTGACTAAAATATGTTTGTGACGAGTTTCCAAATTCATTGGATTTATTTTGAGATGAATAAAGTACATGAGTAATTAGTCAAAAATTTACACACGACTCATTTTAAATATATCCAGTGCCTTCGAGACTCATTTTGACCAAATTTAGGTCATGATATCCTCACCCAACATTTTGCCAAAGAATATGACGCACTTACCTCCTTTTCATAAATTAGGATATCACTTTGTAAGGGACAGGATTACTACTTAAAAGCTACTATCCGCAAAAAAGAAAAAATATATAATTTAGCGTGATAGAAAATGTTTTTTACAGTGTAACAAAGAGGCGCACATATTGTGTCTAAATGACAAGTTCTCTTATGACATCAAGTAAAACAACTGCCACACGATAAAGACTGGCATCATTTGGGGTTCCTCAAAAAGAAATCAGCTCATGCATGCATATAGCATCATTCAATGAATTAGGTTCCACTCGGGGTTCCCCTAAGGATTCTTCTACAATCTATCACTACTATTAGTCTTGCACTTTCTCTTGGGTTTCATCTTCCTTCTGTCCGGAGCCTTTTTTGGAGGGGTTCATTCTTTGGTTTCAACACTTTCTAGCATTGGCATCCTGCACTCTTTCTTGTACCAATGGCTTTCTTTGCTCAACTTTTGTCTACTTCTCCTTCGTGACCAATTGAACACTTGCCATCTCGTGCATCAATCAGTTTCCTCATCCCTTTCTGTTGATCAACAACTCTCCTCCCCACAATGGACATTGATCTTTGTATCCTTAATCCTAGCATTCTTCTACCTATAGGCATTCATACTCCCTTCGATTTCATTCTGACTCAATCTTCATAAATTCCCCACACTTGGTTTCCCAATGAACCTCTAATTGGTGTTGTTGGCAATCACCCTTTTAAGTCGATAGATGTTATTGATTCTATTGTTGCATATGTTCCTCATTCTTGTTTTGAAGTTGTTGGGGGTAAGAATTTATCACCTTTTTCCTCTACTCGTTTTCTAATATTCTCTTAGCAAGATCATCTCAACTCCTGCTACACTCTACCTTTTATGGAAAACATATCTCTCATTTTCTCTTACACTGAGATTTCTGAACCAACAGCTTCATTTTCCCTATCAAGGGCAATTTTTTTGGGGTCATCCCAGGCTCAAGATTTCGCAAATTTATATTAGACTTGCATTTGATTGCTTACCTTGTTGGGATCCTTGATTCCCATCATGTTCTTCTCAGATTATCTCTATAGACAAATTAATCAAGATTCTTCAGATCCTTCTATGTAAATGGATACCTGAAGTGTAAGTTTAAATGATCTCCAACTTTGTCTCTTTCGGAACTACCTATAACACCAATTTGGATTGTTATTCTTCAACTTCATGTCATTTCTACAACCAAGCCACTTCACTTCTCTTGATTATATTTTTAACAAACTTTTGCTCATGAATGATGCTACCATGCAACTCTCAAGGCCATTGGTGGCTAGGGTCCTAGTTGAAATGACTACTACTTTAAAAACTAGATTCAGATTGATTCCTCTATAAGTGGTTATTAGTAAAAGGTTGAATTTATGGCATATATTTTTATTGTTCTTGCAAAATACTTAGTCACAAATACTAAGATTTCTTTAAGATTTAGCAAAACTGAGAACATAATGTTCCATTGATCCTACTAATGACAATAGAGAGCATACAAATGATTAGAGTCTACCTACAAACATGATGGCCACAATTTCTCCCACTTCAAATCAAGCTTCTATTCAAAATTTTGAACCAACTTTAGATCTTGTCATGGAATATGAGTATTCCCTTGTTCAAGTATTTGCATGAAGTATCAAGGCACTGGTAGAAACTTCCTCCACAAGCAAGAACATTAATCCAAATCAGCTGTTGTATTAATGATCATCTTATTGGCTAAGATGCTAGTGACCTAAATTCTAAGCAGTGATCTATTTATAATTGTAGTATCCCAAATATTGAAACATGAGTGGATAAAATGTTTCGAATCCTATTTTCCAAGAGAAGGAATAGAAAAAATGTATTTCTCCAGTCACGAACGTTTAATTGACAACGGGCATAATGGAACAATCCACCAAATGACTTTGGAAATTTTCAATTATGAGGAGTTTATTGCGTCAATTATTATCCCTCACATGGATACTTCCTCTATGTTATCACGTTATCTTTGATTTCATAGTTTACTTCTACTTAATCATCCAAAAATTTACCTTAATTGTTTTATGTTGCGTGAATTTCATTGACCACAACAACAATAAATTTGCCTTCAAAATAAAAATTTTAAAAAAGCTCATGCATGCATATAGCACTAAAAGCTTGGTAGCCATAGTTTAGATTCTAAAAGACACAATTGCACATAATCAAGAATGAGAGTTTTGTTAAAGATGGTTAAGCTATTTGCAAAAAGTTTTATGGCAATTCAATCTCACTTTTTTTGCATCCAAAACCAAAGGATCCAGTAAAGATTATGTTAGGCCCGAGCCTACAGAGCCATCCACCTCGTGCCATATTGAGCCAAGTGGTCATATTGAATCCACACCGAGTCGGCCAAACAAATTGAAGTATTATCTTAGGCGCAAGACTAAAAGAGTAATTTAGTCACTTGTTAGTTACTATTGTTTGATATAAATACGGCTTAATATAATTAGGGTTAGGGTAGGTGTGATTGTCGTCTCTAATCTTAGGAGTTAGGGTTTGAGAGACAAATGCCTGTCTCTCAAATTGTAGGCCTATTTTTTATGTATTTGGGACTGCGTTGTTTTATGCCGATAGAGCAAACATTCTATTTTGTCCTAATTTCTGTCGAAACTTGTCTCATTCCTATCAAATTGGATCAGAGCCGCACCGGGAGTAAAGGCAGACAAAAATGTTGATGCTTTGGAGAAAAAAATTCAAAGGAAAGGTGAGCCAACTCAATAATGACGAGGCCCGTGGAGTTCCACTCCGACCCTTTGCCGCCTATGATGGTGACAACAATGTGCAAAAATGCTAGCGTTGACGAAAAGGGATGCGATTTGAGCTCATAAGAGAACCCTCATATGTATGATCCACACACAAAGGGTTATGCAGGGCACAACATTGCTGATGTCAGCGAATATGGGGTTGCAAGATCAAGCGATGATATGTGGAATGAGCTCGAGCCACCTAAGGGTTGGAGCTAGTGATTCCATGATAACAAACAGATAGAATCGAGCAACTACAGGCAAAATGGGATTGTTGAGTGCTATTTGGAGCCAGAGAAGATCGATTCTAAGGATTTATGCCTATTATAGGGAACTACGGTGGGTGGAACCCAAGTCGAGAGATGTATCCAATCACCCTGATGTTTTTTATTGCAGCAATAATGATAGCCTTCCGGGCAGAAACCGATTCAGAAGTCTATGGGGATAGACAATTCGATCACGTGACAAGTCAAACTTATAGAAGAAAGAAAATCAATATGAGCCAAGGAAGGGAATCCAACCACCGCTTAATGGGTGGAACGAGCTTTGGTCGAGGAAATTAGGGAGACACAAATAAGAAAGCTGAAAATATCGATCTTTGAAGGAGAGGAAACCTACTGTTGGTTTTATCATGTAGAGAGGTACTTTGTTGTGGTGGAGGAGGAAATCCCTCACTTGGATGTTGCACATGGTTTCAATGGAGAGAACAATCTCATTCAATCAAAACAAGAGAAGAATTTAAGGGTCATTTGTTGGAGAGTTTTAGAACCACATAGGAAGGGGATTTACAAGAGTATTTTTCGGAATTGGTCAAAGAAGAGTCCTTCACGGATTATAGAGAGAAATTTGAGATGTTGTCTGGCTATTTGAGATGGAAATCAGAAGCAGTATTGGAAGAAAATTTCATGAAGGGGTTAAAGCCAAAAATTTGACCTGCATTTCTTCTACTGAGACTATGAGGATTGGAAGAAATTATGAAATTAGCGCAATTGATTGAAGATAAAAACATAAAAGAATAGTCAAATAGAAGCAGCATAAGCAGAAAGCCATATCGAATTTCTATAACCACAACAATACCAAAAAATCAAATTTTGGGATACTAGAGGGAGACACCATGGGATATTAATAATGGGCCATGACTGGGAGTGGCCCTGGATTCACACCAAACCATTCTCTAAAACTTTGAGGGCAGACCAGAGAGCAGTATGTAGTAGTGTTAGTGGATTGTGAGACCATCCACAAATTCATCTCCACTCTCCTATTGGAGGAATTGAGGCTTTAGGTGATTGACATGGGAAATTTTGGAGTAATAATGGGGACTAGATTGAAGAGAAGGGGAGTTTGTAAAGGATTAATTTTGACACTCAAAACATTTACGTAGAGAAGAATTTTCTTCCCTTAGATTTAGGGAGCACTGTCGTAATATTCGGCATGAAATGGTTGCAATCCTTAGGAAAGACTAAGACAAATTGAAAACTCATGACAATGGAGTTTCTGAAGAGAGATAAGATAATACTGCTTTGCAACGACCCTAATTTATGCAAGGCTTTGGTGATGCTCAAGAGCATGATAGGGCAATTCAGAACGTAGAGTTTAGATTCTTGGTCAAATTGCATAGCATGAAGAAAATGCATTATTACAACATTATTAGAGATTCTGGTATCAGTCCAACAGCTGCTACAACAGTTTACAGAAGTTTTTCAGTTATCACACGAATTGACTCCTTTAAGGGAATACAAGCATGTGATAACCTTAAGGCAGAGGGTTTCTCCCATCAATGTATGCCCATATCACTAACCCTAGGTGCAGATGAGATCAAAAGATTGATTCAAAAGATGTTGGAGGCAAGGATCATACAGCCTAGTGTAAGTCCCTTTTCTAGTTTGTTCATGCTAGTGAAGAAGGATGGGAGTTGACATTTCTTTGTGGATTACCGAACAGTGAATAAATAAATAGTGCCTTATAAAACAACCAGTGAGAAAAAAATAAAACCTAATAAAATTTTCATCATGATGAATGATGAGCTATTGGAAGAGTTATTTGAGCCTACGATACTTTTTAACATTGCCTTGAAGTTAGGATTCCATTAAATTTGGATGCGGCCATTGCATGTGCACAAGGCATCTTTTCAGAATCATGAGGGTCACTAAGAGTTTTTGGTTACGACTTTCGGGCTCACCAACTCCCTAGCTACATTCCAATCACTAATGGACCAAGAGGTTCGGCGTTTCCTCCATAAAATTGTGTTGGTGTTCTTTGATGACATCTTAGCGTATAGCTGTTGCTTGGAAGATCACATTGATCACTTGAAGAAGGTGTTGACGGTACTAGATAAGCACTGGCTCTATGCTAACTTAAAGAAGTGTCTGTATGCCTAACCAAAGGTGGTACTTAAGACACGTGGTGTTGGCAACAGAGGTTTTGGCTGGCATCAATGCTAGATTTGAAACTACAAAAGGCCTTCAAGGAGTTTAGAGAGGTTTTGAGACTTACAGGATACTATCGAATGTTCACAAAGGATTACAATTCAATTGTGTGGTTGTTAACAGAACAATTGAAGAATGATGACTTTTAGTGAAAGGAAGCAACCCAGGTCTGCATGAGAGGTTTTTCGTTTGCATGGTGTTCAAAATTGATAGTGTTGGATCGAGACAAGGTCTTATTGAGTCACTTCTAGATGGAGTTGTTTAGAATACAAGGGACTGTATTGAAGAGAGTACAACGTACCACCCACAGACTAATACATTCAGAAGTTGTTAATCAAAGTTGGAGACCTATTTGTGTTATAAGACTCACCTAAGTAGTGGGTTAAATGGCTATCCTGGGCAGAGTATTGGTACAACACTTCGTATCATACAACTACTCAAACCACTTATTTCAAATGTTGTAAGGTCGTAATCCACCCCATTTCGTGCCTTATGAAATCATACTATGTCAATGTCTCTGGTGGATCAGTACTTAGAAGAAAGAGAAAAAGTGTTGGTGAAACTGAAGATAGAAGCTCTACCCACACTATTTTGGTCCTTATGAGATAATTGCTTATCATTTAAAATTACCGCATTTGTCGACACTCCATCCAATGTTCCATGTAACGCTCGTTGAGATGTGATATTGGTTTGATGACTTTTTCACTTCCCAGTACTTTGACTGAAAATAAAGAAGTTATATGGGAGCTACTGGAGTTAAAAGGGGTGCGTTAGGAAATGATAGATGGAAAAAAAGTGTTGAATAAATTGAAAGGGTTGCTAGATTATGACGTAATGCGGGAGCCTTAAGACTTGATCCAACACCAATTTCTTCTCTTCCACCTTGAGAATAAGTGTCTTTTTGTGAGAGAGTAATGATAGACCGGCGCCTTTCGGCTCGTGACTCATTGAGCTAAGTGGTCCAACTAAACCCACACTAAGCCCGCTAAATAATTTAAAGACAGAGTTTAAGCACAAGAATAAAATGGCAATTTAGTCAATTTTTAGATATTATTGTTTGGTATATATAAGGCTTAATATAATTAGGGTTAGTGTATGTGTGATTGTTGTCTCTAATCTTAGGAGTTAGGTTTTGGGAGAGAATTGTCTACCTCTCGAATTGTAAGTCCATCTTTTATGCATTTGAGGTTGTGTTGATTTATGTCGGTATATTAAAATATTTTATTTTTCCCTAATCTCTGAAAACGTGTCTCGTTTCAAAAAGATTATTCCAATATTTATGTTAGGCTTGCAAAGTGATGAAATGTTTCACAAATGTACTACATCAAACAAGCCAAAAAATTCACATTTTGATAATCAAAAAGAAAATGTGCATTTGAGTAAATAAAAATACCTGATGAGTAGACAGGAAGAATACATTTGGATCATCATAAAATGCATCACATGTTCCATTACCATGATGAACATCAAAATCGATAATTAGAACCCGCGTTAAACCATGCACATGTTGAGCATAGCGAGCAGCAACAGCTATGTTACCAAATACACAGAAACCCATGGGACCTTTGGGAATAGCATGATGACCTGGTGGCCTGATTAAGGCAAATCCTATTGGTGGGTTTGGACTGGTTATCGAAGCTGAAACCTAAGAAAAAATAAAAATATTTATCAGCCAATATACAACGGTGGATCCGGTCCAAAAATCAACATACACCAAGAGCAGAGTTCAAAAACTTAATATTATTGAGATCAAAATAAAAATATCAGGGTAGCAGCATGTACATAAGAGAAATTTTTCAGGGTTCCAAAAATATATATAAGAAAACAATCCCGGGGAACATAAACTACTTTTCCTATTTTCCTTTTTTTATTCTTATAAAACAACTTTGGTTTGCAAGGAGAGATGACTGTCAATAAAATCATAAAGAAGAATTTATTTATGTATCATTTTTTTAACAAATGTGAAAGGCATGAGGCGTACAAGAACAGGAAGGGTACGTTTCATGGGAAACTATTCATGAGGCGTGTAAGAACTTAAGGAATACTGTTCATGGAAGACTACTTATTTCTCCAAAAATCATAGCAGCCTGGATACAGACCAAGCTAAAAACACTTCACTGCAACTTACTGGAAAATTATCATACCTTCAGATATCTGGCTAGCATTTAATTTTTACTGCTTGACAATAAACAAGTGAAGAACTAACATGGAGATTTCTCTGGGGGAGACTGACTTCATGGATAGAAACACAACCATACACCTAATCAGAAGTATTACCACATTTCTACGACTCGGTTAACAGCTTTAACCCCCTGCACATACTTTGGGCTAGTGCAACAAATCCAAACAATAGGAGAGAAGAAAAAAAATGATAGCACCTGGGCAGGAAATGCAAGAAACAAAATCAAGGAAATTTTCTAGAACATGCAGAGATGTAGCAGTGATCACATAAATTGGCATGTGACGCAAACAAGAAAGCCAATATTATAAAAAAGTTAATATTAGAAGAGTCTGATTTGGGGGAAAAAAGCATTTATTCCTTTTAACTTGTGATTCATTTCTCTATTATTTGTTTCATATTGTATTCATCTTACGCACCCATGAATGAGCACATATTTCCAGTGAATAAGATGTTTTAAAATCATTTCTCTCATAATAGTATTAGAGTCATCATATTCCTCATCACACCCAGTACTCGCTTGACCTTCCCCAATCCGCCTGATCGCAGCCATGCTCTGATCTACATGCTCTTTCATTATTCCACCGTCAATTGTCACACATTGTTTCACCTGCTACCACAATGCCCCCATCAATCCTCGTTTGCTCAACTCTCTCTCTCACTTGTACACAACTGCCACCTCAAAACCACACATAACTAAGATCCCCTGCTTGCTGCCCTTTGCCTGCATGCATTCTCTTCTTGTGTGAGCTCATTGTCTTGCCTGACATAAGCACACCCTTATTCTTCCTCACTACCATAACCTTGCCTTTTGCACGAGAAATGAGCCCACCCATCCTCGCTACCTAAGCAATCAAGACCTTAGCTTTTCAGGGTATTTACCATGCCTTTATATGTATTGGAAGTTTTCAAAATGTGGATAATTGGATGTTAATACCGTCAAATCATAGTTTCCGTCTTAGTTAATTCTAAGCCTCAGGCCTGATCGTGACATTTGCACTAGCATATCTTTTATTCCTTATTTACCATCTATGTTTCACTATACAGTTTTTTGTCCCAATGCTGTTATATATTTTAGTAATAATATTTGTAAATATTGTCTGAAATATAATTTTAGAATTTATAAAATAAAATGGGTAGATGCAATTAAGGATAAAAGTGAGCTGTAATAATAAAGAAGTTAAATTAAAGTGAATTGGATTTTATGATAGATATGAAAAGGATTAGCAACTCACTAACAATGTATTACTAGCTGTAGCAATACCTAATCTATATAAACACTCATAAATACTTATACGAGCAAAGACTATTTATAAAATTTAGTCTACTCAACTTAAATAATTAGATTCTTAGTTAATGTCTTTTTAACTACAAACTTTTAGTTAAGTTAGGAAGAAAATGAAAATTTGACTTACAAAAGAAGTTAGTAATCAAAATTATTACAGAAGAAGATGCAGTCTTTAGCGGAGACTAAGATAAATTGAAAACTTTTGAAATGGAGTTTTAGGAGGAAAACAAGAGGATGGTGCTTTGTGGTGACCCTAGTTTGTGCAAGACTTTGGTGACGCTCAAGACCATGAATAGGGCAATACCAGACGTAAGGATGGGATTCTTGATCGAGTTGCATAGCATGGAATAGACATGATATAAAGTTGGCAGATATTCTGGCACCGATCTAACAACTCCTAGAATAATTTGCAGAAGTTTTCTATTTTTCACATGGATTGTTGCCTCAGAGAGAACACGAGAATGTAATAACCCTGAGATCAGGAGATTCTCTCATCAATGTGCGCCTATACCGCTATCTCATGTACAGAAGGATGAGATAGAGAGATTGAGCCAAGAGATGCTAGAGGTTGGGATCACACAGCCTAGTGTGAGCCCCTTCTCTAGCCCAGTCTTGCTACTAGAGTAGGATGGGAGTTGGCTATTCTGTATGGATTAATCTACCGTGAATAACGAAACATTAGATGATAAATTTACCATCATGGTGATCGATGAGCTACTAGACTAGTTGTTTAGAGTTGGAGTATTTTTCAAGATTGACTTGAAATCATGATATCACTAGATTCAGATGTGACCGACGGATGTGCACAATGCTGCATTTCGAACTCATGAGGGTCACTATGAAATTCTAGTTAAATGGAAAAGATTACTTGATTATGACACAATGTGGGAGCCATATAACTTAATCCAACAACAATTTTCTCTCTTCCACCATAAGATCAAGATGACTTTTTGAGAGGGGAGCAATGTTACACTGGCGTCGATCTCATGTTCTACTGAGCCAACACCGAGCCCCCCAAATAATTTGAAAACTTATATTACACACAAGACAAAAGGGCGATTCATTCATTTTTTAGTTATTATTTTTGGGGTATAAATATGGCTTAATATGTTGAGGATGAGTTATGTGTGATTGTTGTCCTGAATCTTAGGGTTAGGATTTGAGAGGGATAGTTTAATTATGTATATATGTTTAATTAAATTGGGATTCAAGCAATTGAAGCTTTAAATTTGGATTGAGTAGAAGTTGACGACAACGAAGAAAAGTTAAGGTGAGTTAATGTTTTAGCACATTATTTATCAATTTAATATATTAATAGTACTTTTAATTAAATCAAAATTTTGATAACTTAATCAACAGAGGTGATCGAGGAAATAGCAAACAAAAAAATTAATTGAGGTAAGTTCTACTTATATATCTTTTAATTTAAAAGATATATTAATACCTAAAACGTGTAATTGAAAAATACTTTAGACCTTTGAGTAAGAGAAATTATGATGTGATAAAATATTATATTTTACCTTTTTAGACACTAAATAGAGGACATCAAAGATTAAATACCTACAAGTATCATCAAAAAGGTACTTGTAGTTTTAAATTATAGTAACATTCATTTCTCCTATATTTGATTCGCTCTATGACTTGCTTAGATAGATTTTACTGGCTCTTCAATTTCAGTTTGATCATATCTAGTGTATGTCACTTATATTTGTATCTTATTTAAATGCATAGTTCAGGTTATTGAATGGTATGATAAGAATAAGATTTATTATTTTGATTGCTTGCATGAGCATGTTTAGCTATGATGCAACACCCTTTATGGTAATAGCAGAAAAATGCTAAGATATTGAAGTATCTTAAATGAAAAATAATATTGATATTGAAGTATCTTAAATGGTATAATTTTTTTACGGTGCTCCTGTGACGGTTCTATACAGATTAAAAAAGATATTGATATATAAATGAAATAGTAAGACAAATAGTGAATGTTTAAAGGCACCTTGAATGATCATATTAGATATTACAAACCGTCAAATACTTTTATATTTTTATACTATTTAATTGGCATGCATATCCTCCATTTTCATTGAATTACTATAGTTTAGGAGTATGAGTATTAACAGACTTATTTAACTAACTATTATTTTAACTAAATTTTTAGGTTTAATTAATTTATTAAAAGATAAACAATAGATGAGAAAATGTCTATAGACGTCGGGGTCAACCAGAACTGAGGTAAAATTTAATTTTATTGCTTTAATTCATATTTTTAGTGGCTCTTTTATTATTAAAATGTTAGTTATAAAAAATTAATGTTTTACCGTCCAATCGTCTATTATACCCGTCTTTGTTAAGTTCACGCCCCAGGCCGGGTCGTGATAAACTTGTTTGTTCATATCATATAACTTTGTTGTTATAACGGTATGCCTTCTTTAAAATATCACTACATTACCAAATATTTAATATTTTTTAAAAATAATTTTATAACTTTAAAATATATAATAAGAGTAATTGTGAATACAATGTGTATATCAACATTTAAGTAATTAAAAAAAATTGCAACATATCTCTAAAAATGAAGGTAAAAAATGCTGAAACTATCAAAATATACAAAAGTAAAACTTACAATCCAGAATTGAAGTCAAGTTTAAAACCCTTGCTTCAAGGGGATCACTTCGAAAAATAAAGATTTTCGCTCACCTTCATTATAGATGTATCTAATAAAGTAATCTAGTTATGTATCAATATCATCCTCAATATGATTAGTGAATTGGGCAAGATGGGAAAGAAAAACCATTCAGCCTAATCACTCTCTAGTCATGAAATTCTAGCACCAACATTCAAGTCTTGGGGACAAACTCGTCTTCTACCCAACTAGCTCAACAAATGACCTTCCGTTGTGATGCTCTCTCCTTTTCATATAACCATTGTTCCAATATTTCAATTTGTGCCCTCTTTTGCACGTAAGAACAGAAAAAATATGAGACTTCAGAAACCAAAAAGTACCACAGAATCAACCAATGAAAGTCCTGCGCCAGCCGCAATAAGTGATTCTTGAAAAGTCTGCATTGCAAGTAATAATATAATTAACTCAGTGCAGTCAAAGTTTGAAACATAGAAAACAAGAACTCTCACCATTCCGTCACAGCAGTACAAGTATAAAATGGTTCAAGTAACTACAAGTGAAATGTGACCAATAGTTCTTTTCTTTCAAGACCTTTAAGAAAAAATCATTTTAAACCTTCGGGTATTCTGAGCCATCATATAGACATCAAGTATCAATATAGGGCAAGCCAGAATTAAAAATTGCCCTTGAAATTTTCATTTAACTATAACACATACAATGAAAAGTACCAATTAAAGGCAAGCAACAAGAACATTTTATTATCAAAAGAAGAATACAGATTTATTCATTGGATTCAGAGGATTATGAGAATATTGAATAAGAAAATATGTAGACAGTAAACCATCTGAGCTGGGGTTGAGAATGGAAAAATAGTAAGGATGCATTTAACAAAAAAAACGTTATTCATGTAATACATTGTGCGCAGATGAAGCTAAAAAATATTGAAGAAAGGTATATTTCCTCCACATTATTGCATTTGATTTCAAAAAAAATGTAGCAATAGAAAATAATAAAATGACAGCAAATCATTAAAAACAAAGTATTCTGTGTGTGTGTGTGTGTGTGTGTGTGTGTGTGTGTGTGTGTGTATTAACAATTAAATTTTGAATAATCTATTTACAAAAAGCAATCTTATATGTTTCACTTTTATTTTGGAAGTTATGGTTCTGTTTGAGATAAGTTGAATGGTAAAACTTATGCAAGATTAAGATAACAATTAAACCATTATACCGCAAAAAGCATCCCCCGCAAAAAATGGTGTTAACGGGCAAAATTGGACATTTTCTGCACTGTGTATTGAACAAGTGCATCAGCTTAAGAAGCTATTGTTGGTCCTTTCGAGGTCAACTCAAAAGCTAAGCTGAGATTAGCGGAAAACTCATGCAAGATTAAGGGACCGTTAGGGGGTAGGGGTGCAATCTAGACCACACCACTGAGGAGTTTAGAGAAACAACTTTTTATTGTGGAAAAACTGTGTTTTACATCCTGATCTAGCTAAGTGTAGTGGCTACTAAAATGTTATTATTTGCTTATTGAAAACAAAAATAAAAAAAACATAATAGTCACCTCAGCTATTTAAACAACAGCTTTTTCTACAACAACTTCATAATTGCTTCTTCAAATAACTACAACTGTCTCAAACAGGACTAAGAATAAAAAAATCAAAACATATTAATACAAAATGCATCCCTGTCAAAAAATGGCATTAATTGGCACAATTAGACAATTTTCTCTCATTTTGTGTGGTGAACTATGTCACGACCCAACCCTGGCCTTGAAATTTTTCAGGATGAGAACAAACTATCAAACGGTGAAATTATTATTTTTAAACTATTAATTCTAAATCCAGAAAAGATGAAAGATTTGCTGAAGATTATTATAAAGAATTAAATAAATAATAAACTTCATTTTAGTTTATTGACCTCACCTTTTATACACGTTTCCTTCTCTATTATTATTTTTTAATCAAAAGTTTAAAATTGAAAAATATTAATTTAAAATAATAATGAGATATAAACAATCAGTGAATACTCATACTCCTAAATATATAAATATGAAGAATAAAAAAATAATGTGTATGCTAGTCTATCAAAGATAAATTAACGTAAGATAAGTAATAGTTTACTAGTCAAATAAAACAATTCAATAGTTTTTATAACATTCAATCATGTTGTAATATTCAATTTCATTTACTCAGAAGAAGAATCAAAAAGTCAAACATCAGTGAGAAGAAGTGGTAAAACGAGAAACCGAAGCAGAGAAAGTGAGAATTCGGGTAGTCAAAGGAGGTAGAGGAATCAAACAGTCGGGAAGATGAAGAGGGGGAAGTTGACACGAGAAGGTTCGGGAACAAAATAGAATAATTACACGTATAAATAGATGCGTAGGAGGGGCGGCAATGGCATGAAACGACTTAACTGGGAGTCAAACGGCGCGGGAGACGTTCTATTCGGTGACGAGGAGGCTTGAGGTAGTATCGGCGTCGAACTTCGAGAGGTTTGGTACAGAGGAGAAACAATAAGGAGTGAAGTCAATCATTGCACATCGAGAAGAGGAGGCGCCAAAGTTGGCGTTGAGCCGCGATCGAAGGAGTAGAAGAGGAGGATGCTCTAGTGCATGCGATTTAGCTCTCGCGCGAAGGAGAAATTATTCTATACAGAGAACTTACGCAGCTCTGCGTGCGGACTTCCATTAATATGCTGTCACGTGGAGGTTATTGGGAGGTTATTGAAGTGAAACCGTGAAAATTATTGAGTGGTCGTTGAGGTGTTATTATGAGGTTATTGCGGAGTTATGCAGGAGGCAGAGATTATTGTGCGGTTATTGAGGTGTTATTATGATGTTATTGCGGAGTGTAACCACGGAGATTTATTAGGTGGTTATTGAGAGTGTAATAACAGAGATTACTAGGAGATTATTGAGAGATTATTGCAGCTTTATTAGAATTAATGCTTCAATAACCCACAAATAACCCCTAATTACCCTCCCAATAACCTCCGCGATTCCACTTCAATAATCTCACAAATTAACTAGCACACATGACGGAATATTATTGGAGTACGCACGTAGTGCTGCTTACGTGTTGTGTATAATAATTTCCCCGCGCCGAAAGGGAGAAGCTCTCATGCGCAGAAGATCGATGTCGCGTAGATTAGGACTCGATGAGGCTCGATGAGGTGAGCTTTAATAAAATTAAAGATAACTTATTTAATAACAAAATTAAAGTTATAGTAAAATTAATAGTAATAATATATATAATAGAAAATTTAAGCGGTATTAGAAAAAGTAAAGTAATGAAAATTTTTAGATAATTAAAATAATTTAAATTATTAAACTTGTAATAGCATAATCAATAATTTTAATTTTAATATAAATACAATGTTTATTTTAGGCATTCCATTTTAGTAAAGTCAACTTCAAGACAAAATCAAATAACAGATTAATCAATATTGAGAAGAGTACTCGTGTTCTTATACTATGATAATATTTTACTTCTTCTAAATCAAATACATTTACTAATGCTATCATTAGTTATATTAAAATTAATGCAAACGCATAATTTTAAATGCTATGAATTTTTTTGCATATTGTAGAATGATATGCATAGACAATATTATATAATTATCATAAATACTGAATGATTTATAAGTATATTGACTGTTACGAAAATGAAAAAGACATGTGTACTATTAAAAAGTGATGTTTTTTATCATATGCTTGTAATGTGTATAATTAACTATGATAGAGTCACCTTTTTATGGTGCTAATGGAGGAACAATAAGATACCCGTGCACGTATATGAAAAAGAATATTGATATTGAGGTACCTTAATTCATATAATTATTGAACAGTGCTCCTATAACGGTTATACCGATATATAATGATATTGATATGTTATTAATATAATATGATTATTTGAATAATATCAAATATTTATATTAATTTAGTAAAAGCTTAACTCACATGCATATAATTTTATTCTTTGTATTACTGTAGCTTAGGAGTATGGGTATTTACTGGCTTGTTTAGCTCGTTATTATTTTTAAACTTGTTTTTTAGATTAATTTAAGTGATTAAGTGAATATAAAAGACGCAAATAACCAGTAATGAGGTAAATTTAAATATATTGTTTTAATTTAATTTAATTAGTGATTTTACTTATTAAATGGCAAATGAATTTAGAAAAATTTAATTCTTACAGTCTGTCTGTTCCCGTCTTGGTTCGAAGCGCAGGTCGGGTCATGACAAATTGCATTCTATCATTTTATTATCTATAATATCTTATTTATACAACCGTCACAAGAACGTTGTCTAAAACTGTACCAAACAATGTACATAAATATAATAATCATTTTCATTTACGTGCACGGGTACCTTGTGTTTGTTCACTAGTATTACAAATAGGTGAACTTCATCATAAATAACATGCACATGCAAGCATTAAATAACAATCACTATCTAATAATGATCATTTCATTCTCATTTGTGTAATAGTCAATATAGTTGTATAATATTCAATGTTTATAATAATTTAAATAATGTTGAGTACACATGTTATTCGTACAATATACATAAAAATTTAATAGAACCAATTAAGCATGAGCGCAGTGATATTAATATAACTGGTAACAGTAGCAGTAAATGCATTTGGACTAGAAGAAATAAAAGTATTACCATAGCATAATAAAATGAGTACTCATCTTATTTTCAAATGATTTTGCTTGTTTTTAAGTATTGAATATCTTCTACACTAGAATACTTATAATCATGAGTAAAGTATTCATGTCAGTTTAGTATAAGTTAATCTTAACATTAAATGTAATTTGTGTTATTTTATCATTAATGCATTATAAAAAAAAATCCTCATTTTATCTTAAATCATTTAATAAATTTCTTCAAAAAATATTATTATTTATTTAGTACTACTTTGATATTAAATATTTTTTCATAATTTAACTATTAGATTCTTATTACTATTTAAAATTCTATAAATTTAATTTTAGCAATTTTTCCAGTTAATATAAAAAGAAAATTTTTAGATAAATTCATTAACATTTAAATTTTCCAAATTAATTCATTAACATATTTTTCACATTTAATAATTACTTTATTATTATTTATTTGTATAATCTCACACTAATTATGGATTTTATTAATATTATATTTCTAAAATTAATTTGAAGTAGAAAATTTCTAAAATAACATTTTACTTATAAATTTATTATTCCAAAAATTAATAAATCATAATACTTAAACAGATAAACCATATAATAAAATAAGTTTAAACTCATCGTTCAAATCTTCCTTCTTCTTTCCACTTCTTCTGCTCGAAGTTATGACCTCTCGTTGTGGTGGACTCGAGGTCAAAGACTTGCTTGATTCAATTATTGAACACGTGAGCTTCTCCTAACCACAAGTTAACACACCCCACCCACTC